AAAAGTTTTATTAGTAATATGTTTTTTTTTATATAAAAAATTTTATTTGCTAGGAAAATCATATAACAAATAATCTACATCACCCCTATCCTTAAACAGATGGAAACGTTCAATGTTACAAAGATATTCATGTATTTTCGCATGGTAATTGTCCAATCAAATATTAGGTTTTAAAAGAATAAAAAAAATACAAACAAAGCAAAATTAATGCTATAAACGAATTGAATTACATATTTTGCCACCAAATAAGCAAATATATCTTTATTTCGTTTATTAATTAAATAATCAACAAACTTCGAATCATTACAATATATAGAAAACCCAATAATCAACGTCTAATTCTATATCAAATATAATCCAAAATCCGATGTATATGCACATATTATATAGATTATGTAGTCTTTAATATTTGACATTACATGATTTCTAATATTCGACACTTTGCTATTTAATACGTATACGTACTCAAGCTGACATGAATGCAGTCAGACCTTGATATAGTCATTCACAAAGTATAAAAATAATTCTATTTCGTTTTTACCAACCATTATATATAAAGCATAACCTTTGTATAAGCGCTATCACCTTAGTCACATTGAATTTTGGTTACCAACCTGGTGATTATATCGAGGTTTGACTGTATAATATGTAAATTTTTACTGTATTATTAAAAAATTTATCCGTACCCGATGCAAAATGATCTGTTATTTCTAATTTGAGAATGATATATATCAAATTAACGTGAAATGACGCGGAATATGCACGTGCATTAATTTGGAAAATATATTATGCGGTGATTACGGATCGACACTCATTATAATGCTCATTTCAGATAACTTCATTATATCTATTATTTTTGGAGCTGTAAGTTTCATACATATTATAATTACATTGCATGTATGCACTAACTTGAAGTAGCGCGGAAAAAGAGTAGTGGAACATCAAAGTTAATTATATCAAATTAGAGCTTGGATCAGTTATCCGTTTTCATAAATTTAACGGATATTACTCTCAAATTTAGTATCCAACGGACAACGGATCAAAGCTACTATCAGATTTAAAGATAAATTGATCATATAAATAATTCAGTATGAACGATATTATTTATCTATATGATTCCTTTTTGTATTGTAATAAGCATAAGAGAATAACAAGAATAAGAAATACACTCACAAGGTTATGTGACTTTTACTTTATTGGCGGTAACGTTGCTATTAGTTCACTGCTAGTACGAAAGAGAGTTGGGGTATGAAAATCAAATAGGTAGCTCGTTTAGGAAAAATTCAGAAGTTGAAGATCATAAAAAGTTATGGTGATACACTAAAGGTTCTACCACTAGGCGATACCACTAGGAGTGTAGTCGATCGATGACAATTAATAGTGCTAGTGAATAATAATTATGTTAATTATATACGATTCGTATTATTTGGTTAAATGTTCTAAGAAATATATGTTATACATCTTCAAATCTTGTTTATTAGAACAGACACCGACTCCTTTACATACAGCGACCCATATAAACTTATTCTTACCTTGCTAACTTTAAGTTTTTTTTTTTTTTTTTTTTTTTTTTTGTTATAGAATTTTAAGAGCAAAAAAATAATGTTATGACCTTAGTACCGAAGAAAGTCCAATGCTTTAAGACAGTATGATTTTTCTTCTTTAATTAATTGCCTGCACAGATCAAATATGTCAGTGTAATCTCGTTATCAGATTAAAATATAATTAAAATTAGAATTATCAGTAATGTTTTTTACGTATATCTAATACATAATAATTATAAAATCATGTTTTAAATTAATCCCATACAGTAAATGCCATTTTCTTGCAATTAAAGACTAGACTAGTAGTTTAAAATGGAAGCCCGTATCTTTCAGGCTAATCACTTACAGATTTCTTTCTGTTAAAATTATTATGGTATAACATGGACGAACGACCTATGTGCGTACGCTACCCAGCAGTTTACAATTCTTAGATGTTAATATAATATATACTAAATTTTGGTTCTAGTACAATTTTGTTAAATTTATTATAATTAAAAAGGAAGGTAATTATTACGCATGGTTCTATTGATTAATAAACTTTTAATCTTTTTTCATTAAAAATCAAAATTCTTTAAACACTAACTAGGGATGGTAAAAAAAAAAGTTTTTTTTCACCGATTTAAAACAAGTGATGACTAAAGTCTGAATAGTTAAATCTGGATTTGAATATATTTAAGATCATATTCATCACCTGTTTTCAATTACGTAATAAAAAATTTTCGCAAGGTTCAATTTCCGAATGATGACGCAGACTAATTATCATAAGTACTGAAGTAGTAAAAAAAGATGTCAAATCGTAACATTTGATAAAAAGTTATACGAATGACGCCATGACTTTATTTTGAGACATGCAACTTAAAGTAAGCTGATATCAATTTAACCTAATGTGAACCATATTTTATTTGTTTTAAAAATCAGAAATGAATTATATAAAATTGTGTATCTCAAAATAACGCCCATGGGCGTAAACCTGCAAAGAAAAATGAAATATCTCATTTCTATAATCCAAAAGTTATTTCTGTATTTATAATCCAAAAGTTACTAATAACGATAATGAAAAAAAAGCGCCACATTTTACAGAAAAAATTATCAATCTGTGGCAAGTTGCCCTAAGCGCCTACGTAATATTAACAAAATTGAAAATTCCTTAATACATTATATATAATAGTTAATAAATTTGCTTTTATGTACACAAATCTAAACCTATACATAAGCTATACGTACTATTGTTGTTATACATACGTATTCTATTGTACGTAAGTAATCAATTAGATCCAAAAATGGTAAACGATCAAAATTTTTGTTTCGTTTAGCATATACCACAACAGACTACATACAACAGACTACCAACAGGTTTGTGATTTTTTAATAATCCATTTATACTAAATTAGGTTAATTTTTTCTCGATTGCTCACCTCATTCTGCATATTAGTGACACTCTCTATTAGCATCTGAACACAATTCAAAATTATCATTCATACTGATGTTCCAATTAGGGGATGAAGGGTAGAGGCCTGCAAATTCCTAATTTTGCGTCCCGGGCCCGGCCCGCAATTAGGAATAAAAATTTTTTGCCGGCCCGGCCCGCAGTTATAAATTTTCTGTTACAGCTATCGTTATTATCATAATTTCTGGAACACCTGCTTTTTACCCAAAATCTTTTTGGTCATTCCTAAATCTCCGGAAATTACATCACTGCCTCCGGATTGAAGGTCTGAAGACAGCAATGTAGTTTTTGGAGGGTTAGGTAATTTACTGAACGACCAAAAAGATTTCGCGGATGTTCCAAAAATTAAGATAATAGTCCCGCCGCAAATTTTTACAGTTGTTTTCATATAAATTCTGGAAAATCTGGCAAAAATTGACCGACTGAATATTTGCCGATTTGATAAGATTTGATTCAGCAGTGATAAACTTTTGATTCGAATATAATAACATCCGAGCAAAAGTTTATCAAAATTTACCGAATCGGCAAATATTCGACTGGTCAATTTTTGCCAGATTTTCCAGAATTTATGAAAACGGCTGTAATTCGGATGTAATCACATCCAAATCAAAAGCTTATCGAATCGGCAAATTTTTTGCGGGCCGGGCCGGCTTTGGGACCCAATGCAGGCCTCTAATGAAGGGTAATTGTAGTTGTAGTTAAAGGAGTAATTAAATACGCGCGATGATACATTTCACGTTTATAATCATTACGATCATAGCTTGGACAACGTTTTGTCCACAATTTTGGATTCTTTGTTTCTTTTTCAGGTGAGACACCTTGACTAGGAGATTCCAAAATCCGAAGTTGACTTAATGTCATGCGACGAAGAGTTTAAGTTGTGTTGAGAAGTAGACGTTTGCTCCATTTTAATTTTTGTTTTTTCAAAAAAAATGCGTAATTTGAATTTTTTTTATTGAATAAATAAAAGAATAAATGAATTTTTTTTTAAAAAGTCGTGAGATGAGATTAGGATGAGAATAATTTTATACTGATTAACGTAAAAAATCAAGTGTCAAGTGTTGATCATATGCTTCTAACATCTTTTTTGACAGATGACATATCTTTGTACACACGTTAACATTAACATAACGATAATAACTATTTAACTTTATAATTTTCTTTTTTTAAAGAAATTTTTATATATTCTTTATTTTACTTATATAATATACCATATTTGATGACCACGTTAAAGTCAAAATAAGCAAAAATCTATATATATATAAAATAAATTCTTCACAAGTCTTTACACAAAATTTTCAAAATCGAATCATGTTCAACAGTAATTTAGTTGCTGCAGTAAACGCTGCTATGGGTTCTGTAAGTACTCTTAAACATATTTAAACGGATAAACAAGAAAATCTCGCGTTCTCATTATCTTACACTTTCTACTTTGTGTAGAGATTTGAGCCCTCGAAACAATCACCAAGCAGTCCGATTCAAAATCAAAATGATGGTTAATTTGAATCTATTCGTGCTCATATCGAATTCGTACCTTCTTTTTCTAATATTTTTTTTATAACTTTAATCTTCAGACTCCGATTCTGACTCTTCAAAAGAAGACAATTCACGGCTTGTATCTTCTCTGGACGTCATATACTTGGCAAGTTTATTCCAAAATTTAGAACAAGAAAGACGTAATGGCGAGGAATTCTTTCCTCAATTCGATAAATTATTAAAAGAAAAGAGCATTCCGGAAAAAATAAAGGAAATTTTTAAATTACAAGACTTGGAAAAGTTTATAGGAGGTATGTATTAAATAATGTTTTTAATTAAAATATATTATTCAAAATCTAAATGTTTTTTTCGATTAGAATTTCGTTGCGCTCTGATCCGTTCGATAATGTTACAGGGTATTATGTATTTGACAGAAGAACATATATGTTTTCATGCTTATTTTCCTAGAGAACAGGTATTTATTTACAGAGAAAATTCACTTTAGTACACTAAGTGATACATGCATCCATTTATGGTAAAAATATTAAAAAAATATTTGCTTTCTCGTCATACAGGATGTTGTTCTAAAAGATGGTTTTCTTTCAAAGCGAGGTTTATATGGTTTATATGAAAGATATTTTTTTTCGCTTCAAAACGATATTCTTGTATATTATCATGATCAGTTGGTAAGTTATCGGGGTATTCGGTTTCTTTTTTAAGTAAGCACGTGATCAAGCAATCGTTACACTGTTATTATTTTAGGATAAATATTGTCCGTTGGAGATTATCGATTTAAAGTATGCTGTTAAGGTTGATAAAGATAGTAACAAGAATAGATTCAAGGTTGTTACCCCGAAACGTACTTATCATTTTCAAGCTGATTCTCTCACATCGATGGAAGAATGGGTAACACAATTACAAAGATCAATAGTTCGCGCCAATAATGATGGTGATCACGTAAAGGTTAGTAGTAGTAATAAAGTCTTTAAACTATTAATATAATTGATGTCATGCTTCTAAAATTATCATTTTCTTCGTAACACGTTCTTAATGAAAGATCGTAATTCCAATCGAAAGTATCGTAGACATTGACAATAAATTAACATCAAGTCTTCAAGATACAATTAGAATAAAGACTATTGACCAAGATGAGAATGACGATGAGGTAACTAATCATATTTATGGTGTTAAAAACTTTATCTTTTTTATTAATATACTGAATATTCGAACGGGCTATTTCAGTATTTGTTCGCTTTTATTGTGGATAGTCAAATTTTATTTGAAAAGCTCCAAGGTCTTTGGAGTCAGTACAAGGAACTGAATTTAACTCGTAGTCAAAGCTACGAACGGCCTATGTCTCCAGAGTTAACTATTGCTGGCTTACCGATAAATACAATAAATGTTTTTTCTGGATGGAATCCGTTCTCCATAAATAAACGGAGAAAAAGTGCTGATGATGCATCAACTACTATAACGAGATCCGTCTCTAAATCACTACAATCCTCAAGTTCAACTTCGGATACGATGACTGAACAACGGGAAACTCAATCCAGTGTAAAGAAAAATCTTTCACGCCGTGTTAACACATTAATTCAAAACCCAATAAAGTACATAAGCTCTGTTTTCAACGAAGACCCGGAAGATGAAACAAAAGAACGTTTCAGGGAACATTTTGCTTTGCCTGAAAATGAACAACTACGAGCCGGTATGAAATTTATTTATTTATTTATTTATCATGTTATTCGTTTCTTTCTATAAAATCCAACGAAAATTTTTTTGCAGTGTTCTACGGATATTATCTTCGTATGATTCCGTTATATGGCAAGTTTTATGTTTCTGACAATTACGTCTGTTATAGATCTAGAGTACCTGGTCAAACAATAAAAGTATATACATTTTATATTCATGATTGAATCTTATGGTTATTATAGTGTTAACCCCATTTTTAATAGATAAAACTACCAATATCAGCCATTTATTATCATGAGAAGCAAAAATCTAACATATTGGGATATTATGGATTGGAAATTTTGACTAATTCTCAACAAGAAATGTTTTTTGAATTTGGATTTAAGGATATAAGAGATCGATTTGTAGAATGGTTAGAACGCTTAATGAATGCAGATAAGAGACGAATACCATCAGATGGTTCTGGAAACACTGACGAAAGCCATTCGTAATGTTTTTTTTTTAAATGATATACATTTATTATTTTTTCAAAATTTAATACTTATTAATAGCATTCAATCATTATTTTTTATAGAATCATTCAAAATGCTTTTATCAAAGAACAATTGTCATGGAAAAAAATGACTGAAAATTACCCACCTGGTTCACCAAAAGCATCGAACTTCAATGATGGTGTTACAGTATTTGCACCGAAACTCGATAAACCTATGCATATTACGTGTCTGACTATTGGTTCCAGAGGTGACGTACAGGTAATATAATTTTATTTATTCCTTATATCTTATAATGAGTCTCATTTTCTTTGTCATTAATATCTACAGCCATACATTGCCCTTGCTAAGGGATTAATGAAAGAAGGGCATAAAGTACGAATTGCCACACATGGTGAATATAAAGATTGGATTGAAAGTCATGGCATTGAATTTGGATATGTAGGTGGAAATCCGGCAGAATTAATGGTAATTATTATTATTATTCGATACAAAAAGGCATTTTCCATTAATATGTTATGATAGTTAATCAATTATTATTTTTATAGCGTATTTGCGTTGAAAATGGCATGTTCACTTTAGGATTTTTTAGAGAAGGTGTTACTAATGTAAGACTTAAATAGAAAAATAGCGTTCAAAATGATTTCACATATGAAAGTATGTTAAGTTTATCATTGTAATAAATTTATTTAGTTTCGTAGTTGGTTAGATGACTTACTGAAAACTTCATGGGAAGCATGTCAGGTAATTGATTTTAATTTTCCATTGACGACAATGACCTAATGACTATATTGTACTAACATTCCGCATTAATTTACAGGGTACTGATTTGATTATAGAATCGCCTAGTGCTATGTCAGGCATTCACATTGCAGAAGCTCTTGGTATTTTATTTAACATTTTCTTTTGAATTTTTAATTCGAATTCAAATTATTTACAATAAACACGTTTATTAGAAATTCCATATTTTCGTGCATTTACCATGCCATGGACGAAAACAAGAGAGTACCCACATGCATTTGCCGTACCGTACCATGATCTCAAAGCTCCCTACAATTATTCATCATATGTTCTTATAGAAAATGCTTTTTGGCGTGGGATTGCTCCGCAAGTCAATAGATGGAGGAAAAATACATTAAACTTACGTACTACCAATATGGAAAAAATGGATGCAGGCACTGTACCATTTTTATATAATTTTAGTTCGAGTATTGTTCCTCGACCATACGACTGGAGTGATTGGATATGTATTACTGGGTATTGGTTTTTGGATAATCCTGAAGTTGGTTGGAAAGCTCCTAATGATTTATTAGAATTTTTGGATTATAATCGTAATAATAATAAAAAGATTGTATATATTGGATTCGGGTCAATAGTTGTGGATGATCCAAAGGCTTTAACTAAAACAATTGTTGAAGCCGTGACAAAGAGTGGTGTTGCTGCCATTTTATCAAAAGGTTGGAGTGATAGGTTGCAACAAGGAAAGACTGATAATAATGAGGAAGAAGTGTATCCTTCATGTATTTTTCCTGTCAAATCTGTACCACATGATTGGTTATTTAAACAAATCGATGCTGTGGTGCATCACGGTGGTGCTGGAACTACTGCTGCAGGTTTACGGGCTGGAAAACCCACCATAATCAAACCATTCTTTGGTGACCAATTCTTCTGGGGTGATCGTATAGAAACTATGGGAATTGGAATTCATCTAAGAAAGTTAACCATAGATAAACTTTCTGATTGCCTTATCCGAGTCACAACGGATGAACATATGATTAAAAAAGCTGAATTGGTAGGAAATAATATAGAAAAAGAAGATGGTGTATCTAATGCAATACAAGCGATATATAAATATCTGGATCATGCTAAACAAAGAATTATTTCACAGCGTCAGCGGGTAGAGTTTTGAACCGGATTATAGTAAACCGGCGTATCAAAACGGTTCAACCGGTCAAAAATTTACAACTCGGGTTGAATATGTAACCTCTAAAAATCCGTTACACGGAAAACAAAATTTAACACATTATTATTATATTGTGAAAATAAACACCCTTTTTTTTTTTCTTACTAATTTACCTAAATGCTCAATCCCGTTAATCTGGATTTAATACGACTATCCATTGTGAAAACTTTGCTAGAAATTTTCCTTTGCATAAGCCTTTATTATTATTGTCTTTGTTTTACTAATATGTACATATCCACCATTTGATTTTTTATAATAAATATATAATATTATTAATTATTTTTGTAATAATAACTTCTTATATATTGGCCTGTTTAAATAATTTTACAACCAAAAATATTCATTATAATGAGACGATTCTAACAAGCAAATCTAATCACAGGATCTCGAGATATTCGCGTGTCAAACAGTAACGCGCCTTCTATTGTGGAACGGACGATCGGTTGAAATAGTAAAGGCTATGTCCAATCGATCGTGCCACAGTAGGAGGTACATCATTATTTAACACGCGAATATCTAGAGATCCTGTGATTAGATTTGGACGATCTTGGGCTTGTTAGAATAATCTCATTATTATGAACATTTTTGGTGGAAAATTATTTAAAGCAGGCCAATATATAAAAAGTTATCATTACAAAAATAATTAAAATATTATATATAGAGATGTTAAATGGAGTATATTACTCCGGAGTAGCTCCGGTTTGACTCCAAACCAACTTGGAGTAGATTAAAATTTGATAAACTGGAGTAAACCAGTTTATTAAACTGGTTTATACTTCAGTTTATACTCCAATTTAATGCTCTAGTTTAAAACTCCAGTTTAATACTCCAGTTTAATGCTCCAGTTTATACTTCAGTTTAATACTTTAGTTTAACACTCTAGTTTATACTCTAGTTTAACACTCTAGTTTAACACTCCAGTTTATACTTTAGTTTAATACTCCAATTTAATACTTCAGTTCAACACTTTAGTTTAATATTTCAGTTCAACACTTTAGTTTAATATTCCAGTTTAATACTTTAGTTTATACTTTAGTTTAACACTTCAGTTTAACAAACCAGTTTAATAAATTAGTTTACAAACCAGTTTAACAAACTAGTTTAACAAGCTAGTTTAACAATTCTGTTTAACAAACTAGTTTAACAATCCAGTTTAACAATCTAGTTAAACAACTCAGTTTGTTAACCTAGTCTAGTAATCCAGTTTATTAAACTAGTTTATTAAACCAGTTTATTAAACCAGTTTGATAAATCAGTTTAATAAACTGTGTTAATAAATAGTTTAATAAACTAAATTAATAAAACAATTTATTAAATTAGTTTATTAAACCAATATAAATCTATATGATTATAGTAAAATAGATAATAATTTGATTAATACTAGATACAAATCATAGAAGGTATACTACCCAATAGGATACTATTTGTCATAAAATATAAAATAAAACAATCATATAAAATTAAATATAAAAATACAATCAAGAAAAACTTATAAATTAAATCATAAGCTTATTATTATATAATCATCCTTAAAAACTTTTTAGAAAAATATTACATTTTTAAAAAATATATTTATGCGAAGTAATAGTAGATCATGTGATCAAAATAAGAAACAGCTACATGATGCCTCAATCTCTAGTCTCAAAACACCTGTACATGTGAAAAATCAAGCAGTATAAAAAGTTTATATGTGTATATGAACAACACATATTAATAACATAAATATTGGCACAAACTAAGAGGAAACAGGAAAGGATACTAAAGAAATCAAATAAGTATAAAAACAAAAGAATTGCAAAAAAAACTGAACAACAATGATTGAACCAAAAAATTCTCATAACCTATCTACCCACTTCTAGATGAGAAACATATAATTCTATTATCTCTTTACTCAATCGGTTTGCTGCAATAAGCAAACACTAGCTGCTCCCATGGCGACCCTTAGTGCAATCTCGATTGCTACTTTTGTAAATAGTCATTGCTGTTCTAACCAACTTGGCCAACTGCTTACTTTACTATTCTGTATTCTGCTAACTTTTTAATAATAAATCATATTAGCATAAATTATTGTCAACATAATCCAAACAATACACAATCGTCATGTTATATAAACTTATGAATTCAGGAAATTAGCCTTTGTGAGAATAACTTAATGAGTATATAATATGATTCTTTTCGATATCACAAATACACATGTCTGTAAAGTAATATAGTATAATAAAATTAAATAGTAAGTTATGCAAATATCTATTTCATATTAAATTATTACATTTTATATATATTTTATTACTGTATTATAGCATTAGACTTGTTTAAAATCTAGAATTACTTCAGGTTTGCTTATGCTATGAATATATATAATAATCTAGATACAGTATTTTAATATTCAATTAAGCTAATTATACTATAATATGTATATATATGATTTAGTAATTGTTATTGCACTATTAAATATTGCTAAAAAAAAAAAAAATAATAAAACCTTTAATTGAAAACAATAAAACTACTATAAAAGTTTATATACAATCTCCAATAATAGATTTACTATGCTTAATCAGAGGCTTTATTGCTAAAAACAAAGAAATTATATATAAAAATAGATTTGCTATACTAATTATACTATAAAGCTAGAGGAAAATGTAGTTCATATAGCCCCAATTCTTCAAACTCTAGCCTGAACAGCTAGGCTACTTGAGTTAGAGGTTATTATTTAATCCAATATTCTTTAATATTTCTGACCACAAGGTACAGTTTCAATACTAACTCTCAAACTTAGCTGCAAAATTTGAACACTCTTACAAGAGAAAAGAAACTTTTCAGTTTACATAGTGATTTTTAGAGAATTAACCTTATAGAGTATAATTCTTACACTATATTAATGCTATTGAGCCCAATAGTAGTTATTGTGCTATTCTAAGCCACTAAGTAGTATTCTGTAAGGATCAAATCTGGTAAATATTTTTAAAGATTCAGATTCAATCCAAAGTACAAATTGAATCCAAGCTAAGGTTCGAATCTATATCATGCAGATCTAGATTTGATCTGATCCGAATCTAACCAAAGATTTAATTCAGGATGCTTGTAAGACTATATGTTATTTCAATTTTCAAAATAACATCTATGGTGTTATTTCATGCTTATTGGTAAGTTTATTTAATAAATACTTAATTTGGAACTTGACTAATTACACATTAACCATAAGCTTATTTTAGAAAATAGATATAATGATAAGAAATAAACCTGCTATATTTACAAGAAAAATATTTACATCTGAATCTTCTTAACCCATATAGAATTCTATTAATATATGCTATACATTCATTTATTCAATGAAGTTCAATACTGCCACTATTAGCTTGATGTATTTAAATAGTAATATTTAATATACTTTTTAAAAGAAAAAAGACAGAAGCTTAGCATTTTGTATTTCGATAATAATAATAAATCTAAATCGAATATTATTCGATTGAATTTCTTTTTGGATTTAGATCTGCAAAATCAGCAAATTATAGATTTGGAATAGATCAAACCCAAATCTATTTTGCAAAATACTACCACTGTATTACATTCTTGCTAAGGCAAATGATAGCAAACATAAGAATACCTAAATTACCTTGCAGAGAACATTCTTAAATATCCTTAATTCTGTAATCCATTTAATCACTTTTATCCATTCCAATATGTATAATCATACTCCTCAACTGATATCATAATTTTTAATCATGCCATTATCAGTTTATTGATTTTTTAAAAACAACAATAAAGATCATCATATGCAATCATAGATTTACCTACAATACCTGTATTTAACAAGATATGTATATATGTATGTACAGTACATACTGTATATACTAACAAACATTATGCATATTCTGATAAAAGGCTAAAAACTAATTTATATATGTTCTGCAATAAAGTCTTGATCTTACAGTAATAATTACTTTGTCACTTTGTTAACAAGCTAATTAAATCTTTATTAATTAAATAAGATTTTTTTTTTTAAATAATAAATACCTTTATAAATACAAAGTATAATATACTTTATATTTTTTCTTTTATAATATAACCTTTGAGTAAGTACTAGACTCAGGTTTACTAAAAAGTTTGAAAATTAGTATACATATATAATAAATAGACCCAGTCTTGTATATGAGTACAAGTTAGTATTAGTAATTTAGAAGTTTTGAAAAAAAAAACATATAGTACCAATATAAATTACTTATTATTATTGTATAATTCACTTCTTTTTTAATTTAATGTTATAAAATCCTGTTTAAATATACAGTAATAATAATTTATATATTGCTTGTTAATTAAAATTATAAAAAGCTTTAATAAAGTTTTTGAATTTACCTTTTAAATTTTTGAATTTTAATAACGATAATGTCTAAAAAACAAAGTTAGAAGTCAAGAAATTAATAGTGAATCTGAAAACGAAAATGTGTTTGAAGAAAATGCAAGTATTTATAATAGAACTGAAAGTGAAGTTGATTTTTCTGCTGAAAATTTACAAGATGTTGAGTCTGATTTAACTTCTACAGCTAACTTTGCAACTATTTCTGCAACTACTTCTGCAACTACTTCTTATGAATCTTCTTGGGTGTAAAAAATTTTTACTAAAGAGTATGATGATTATAATAAAGTTAAATCTTTTATTTGTTCTCTTTGCAAAACACGATATATAGCAACAAATTCTCCTGGAACACTTGCTACACATTTGCATACAAAACATAAAGAAAAAACTAAATATGTTCAAGCCACATTAGATAAATTTGCACCTAAACCATATTCAAAACAAGATTAACAATATAAAGAACTTACAGATTCAATTGTAGATCTTATTGTTTGTTGTCAACTTCCATTTGCAATTGTTGATAATCCATACTTTACTAAAATGCTAAATCTTTTTGATAAACGGTACCAAGTGCCATGCCGTCAAACTATAAAAAATGAAATTATAAATCATCATAAAAGTATAGAAAAAAAAATTAAAGAAGAGCTTGCAACAATACAAAAAGTATTAATTACTTGTGATATTTGGAGCTTTATCACAATGCAATCTTATTTAGATGTAACAATTTATTATATCAATAAAGAATGGAAATTGCAAAATTTTTTACTTGATTTGCATTACTTTCTAAGACAACATATAGCAATTTGAACACAAGAACTTCTTTTAGATATTTTAGATGATGCAAATATTAGTGACAAATTATTAGGACTAACAACTGATAATGCAAATTCAATGATAGCTATAGGTCATAAGCTTAAAATCTATTTAGCTTCAAAAAGCAATAAAGAATTAATTTACCAAAGATATGTAGCATATATTTTAAATATTGCTGTACAGTATGGCTTAGAAAATTTCATACTAGTTATTAATAATATTCGAGATTTCATAAAAAAAATTAGACAGTCTACTAAATTATATAATTCATTACGTACTATTTGTTAACTTGAAAATGTTCCAGAAATAAAACCAGATCTAGATGTAAATACTAGATGGAATAACACATATTTAATGATAAACAAATTTTTACAAATGAGAAATATTTTAGATATTCTTGTAGCTAAACATCGAGATCTTTTATCATTATATTTGCAAGATGATGATTGGGATAAACTTAAAGTAATGATAGATATTCTTTGTCCAATTTTTGATGCAACAGAAATTCTATCTTCTTCAATATATCCAACTATAAGTGATGTTAGATTAACTATATTTGGATTAATTCGTCATCTTGATCTTTTTTTAGAAGACTCTTGTTCAAATGATATTTCTTTACTCATTGAGAATATTAATTTAAAACTAAAAGAGTATATTGAGGAATCAACAACAATAAGCACATTATTAGATCCACGATTAAAAACAAAAACCTTTATATCTACTGAGCAGTATAAAAAAACTATAAATATATTACAAAATCAAATGAAAAATTATAATAATAATCAACAAAATCATGCAGTTTCAAATACAAAAAAAAACAAATATTTATTTTTTGAATCACTTTTAACTGAACAGAGCAGTAGTCCATCTATTAAAGATGAGATTACAAGATATATAACAGTGCCTGTAGTTTGTGATACTAATCTTTTAGACTGGTGGTGCCATTATAAAGGTAAGCTATTTATATATTTTATATTAATCAATATTAATAAAAATAATTATAAATTTCTTTATAAAAATACAAGATGATTTTCTGGTTCTTGCAACAATGGCTTCATGCTACTTAAGTATACAAGGCTCAAGTGTTCTAGTAGAGCAAGCATTCTCAATAGCTGCTAATGTAATTACTAAGATATACTGCAATTTAAAACCAGAATTAGCTTGTGCTATAATGCATTTAAAAAGTTAGATTTCTAAAGTTTGTGATAAGTGAGATAATGAAAATGATTTAGATATAGAAATTTTATCTGAATTATAAAAATATATAGTCATAATATATATTTTCTTAATTTATTTTTTTTAAATAGCGAATCTTTTTCTATTATATATTTTTCAATACAAACACAAAAACATTAAAAAATTATATTATATTTTCTATAATATTAGCATTATTTACAGTTTAAAAAATCTTTTAAGTATATTCTATTTTATTTTTTTAAATATAAGTTGTTTAGTGCTTTGTGTTAAACATATATATCTTTTTGCATATTTTTTATTTCAATATTATAACTACTTTATTAAATAAATATAAAGATTATTGATATGAATTAACATACTTTGTATAGCAATGTTGACAATGACTTTGAATTCAAATTCAAGATAGAAATAAATAATAATGACCAAAACTCTAAAAAAGCACTAATAACATACTTGCTAAATATATCACTAGCTAATCACCAAAAGTCAAGTAATAATTGTATTTATCTTAATTCTTAGTTTGTAACTATTAAACTGCTAATGCTTTTTTTATTGTTACTATCGGTTGGAAGAGCAATTACGAATGTTAATCCAATTTAGCTTTGATAGATAACTAGGTTCAGGATTTATAACACTTAAACATGTGGTATGAGGTCACGAAATTCTTAAACTGGGTCTGGATCACTTAACAATTAAACTTTAATTACCAGTATCACAACTTTGAAAGAGACTTGTGTACTTTGTTACCAATTTAGCTTTGAGCCATGAACATTAGGGTATTAAAAGAATGTAAGATTTTATTGTTGAAAGAGCAAATATTGTATGTTAATCAAATTTTATTAGAAAGTTCTATGTTATATATACATCCTCATATATCTATCCTATATCCATATGTGTCTCTTATATGCTTTTTACATGCCTTTTACATGTTTTTTCTAAATCAATTCTTCTTTACTTATCCTTTAAATACATTCTTACCTACTAACTTACATATATTAAAATGAAGTAATTATCATGAAAATTAAGTAATAGATACTGTAATCGGACTTGGGTAACCGTACGATCATTGATCGGTTACAAATAATACCCTAATCTATGTGATATCGATCGAAATTTTGTTAGCAACAAAATTTCTCGTAACATCAAGAAGGGTTTATTATATACAACAAATAAGAAATGCAATATGACAATTAATAAAGAAATAACTAATACAATAATAAAAAGAATAAACTAAACTAATAAACTAATATCTAAACTCAAATATAAAGGGAAAAAGAGAATTCGAATATAAACTATAACTAAGAAATCAAGGGTTCTATATTATTATTTGAGACGAATATAAAGTATGATGCCACAATTAGCCAATTATTACAATTATATTTACTATATACATTTTTACACAGAGTTTTTTAAAACCATAATTGTAATAATATTCATTACATGTAATAATAATATTATTTATTTTTGTATAAGAATATTATTATATATATTGATACCCAACTTAAGTAATGGTTAATAGAGGACTTATACAAAAAGTTTGCTTTAGTCAATTTTGTAGATTTAGTTATAATATTGTATTTCGCTACTTTGTTCACAATAGTAGCTTAGTGAATATAGTTGCTTTATCCACTTTTTTAACTATATTCGTTTTAGCATTTTTTGTACATAAATGTAAACCTGTATGATTATAGTCCTGTAAAAAGTATAAAAGCAAAGACCTTTCACTCTGGAAATAAGACAGAACTTAGTTAAGTAATACTTCGAAATCATAACAGTAGAAGTATTCTAGTAGTTTTTCATTTATCTTATTCTGTTATTTCTAATAAATTATCTAATTAATCTTGTCACTATCCTAATATTATAAAATAAAACCATGACTTCATTGTAGAGCTTAACCTTTAAAATTAGAGTAAAAGTATTGGCTCTAGGTTTTCTAAAATCAATATTAGCAAAAGCCAAATCTATACTCTCTTGACCTTGTAATTTCCTAATCTTAATTGCTCGTAAAAAAGAGAAAGAGAGAGAGCTACTTAGTTAACTAAAGTCCCTTTTATATAAAACAATACACTGATTAAACTCTGATCTATATTATTGTTATCTCTAAAATAAACATCAATCGATTTTACGAATTCTATAACCTACGTGATGATCATTAAGAATCTTAACGATCGAATCGAAGACTAAAGCTCTGGTACATCTAAGAATAAGAGAAAGAATTACTTTTAGCCTCTATTAAAGTCTAGAAATAACTGGTTAAAGGATAATTTAAGGCTATACTTATCTCAAACCCTATTGTCATTGCAGCAAGACCCAAAAAGCTTTAAGACTCAGACCAAGTCTCTCTAAACCTCTTTCTGCCTGCCAATTCGAAGTCTCTAAGGTCTTGGAATCTTGATTAGTTGTTGGAATGAATAGAATCAGCTAACTTTAGTTTTAAACAATTAAGTCACACTTTTTCAACATACAGTATTTATCAGTTATACAGCAATATCTAGTATAATTATTATGTATACATACATATGTGATAATAAATACTATATAAGACAATAATTATTATATATAGTAAAATTATTGCTTGTAATAATTGTAATAATAAATACTACCTGTAATAATTATTTTACATAGTAAAATATTATTACATGTAATAATATTTACTACATGTAATAAATATTATTACAATTACTACTTTTTGTAATAAATAATTTTTATATTATTACATCTTGCAGTTTAAATTATGGCACCAATCATTAGATGAATAGTCTGATGAGATCTTGTCTTCTTAGACATTGTAGCCTTAAATACCTTTTATTTTACTAAGAGCTACTGCACTATCTTTAATCCCAGGCTTATCTTCTTAGCAATCAATCTTTGAGTTGTGAACAATTCACATTAAATAGCCACCTAAGCACACAATGATTATGAGCTAAGCACACAATAATTGTGAGCCAAGCACACAATGATTGTGAACTAAGCGCATAACAATTGTTCCAAATATTTACCATAATGGTTACTCTTTATCTAATAAGTAGCTGCGACATTGTCATGCTAAACCAGAAACAGATGACAACTCTAATACGAAATAGTTATATAAGTTATAATTTTGAATTCAGATAAATAAATATCAGATATAAAACTAAATACAGTACATCTATATTGATAAAAGACACTATAATTTAAACAAAAAAAATTTTTATAAGATTTTTTTAGATGTACGTATATAGTAAAAAGTGTAAAATACCTCTTTAAAAAAATATATTAATTTACTATAATTTTTCAATGCTAACCTTAATAATACATAACACTAAAACAGATATTAAAAATTGAGGTATTTTATACCCTATACTATATGGATCTGTTAATAATAATCTATAGACTAACACAAGTTGAACCAATGAATATCAGGTATATGCTGGGAGACAAGTTTCCTGATGTGTACCTGATATCAGTAACATAATAGCACAATATTGGGATACCCAGATTATTACTCTTAGCACTTTGGGTCAAAAGTAAGACAGGATATCCCAATATTTTGCTGTTAGCTGTTGATATCGATCTAACATCTGATTCTTACTAATGTGCTACATATCAGAAAATTTGTCTTCTGGTATGCACCCGATATTCATTAATTCAGCCTTTGTAATGTAGATAAGAATCTAAATGAGATGTGAACAGCTCATATTAAATACTTAGACCAATAAGTAATCACTAAACTTAGACTAAGAGCGCTTAATGTGATTAGATAGCTATTGAGAATTATTTATAAGTACTATGATTAATTGAAGTGATCCCTATTGAATTTATGCTGAAGTCTATGACAAAAAAAATGACTTCAAACTTTTTTTTTTATCTTAACAATACCGGTTAAACTACTTTCTACCAATTAAAATTGAGTTTCGACCTATTATTAGAATTTATGTACTTGAAAAAGCCTTAAATCATATGAATAAAAATTGAAGTGAGAAATTAATTAATACGTTAAGATCAGAAACATGACCTGATGCAGTCATGTGCCTATAACCCAGTTGCTTCTAAATTTGGGTTTCCCAGCCAGAAACCCTAGAAAGACCATTTCTGGAGAAAATGACAGAAACGATAATTATGAGATTTATGGCGTTTCTGTCAATAAGAGCATTTTTGGAGTTATATACAGTAATGGCAGCATAGATAGCTTTTATAGATAAAACAGTTAATATATAATAAAGGCCTTTTGGCTCTTCGGGACAGACAGATCCTGTTTTACCAAAATAATAAAGTACTTAAGTTACATAAATATATCCTACCAACTACATACATTCATTTATTAACCACTCGCCAAATCTAACATGCCTCTTTTGTACCTCCTCAGTTATGGTATTTCTGTTGGTCGGTAACCTAATTGCTGCAGAACGATTGATCAACCGATTCTCGTCTCACAACATATATTAATTTAATAATGTTCAATTGATTAAATAAGAAAATACTTAATTGAAATATTATATAAAAAACCTGACATTAAATGACAAAGAATTTTGTAGACCAATTTCAACCTATTAAAGATTTTAGAGCTGTTAATGCTTGTATGTTTTTAAATTCTATATTGCTTTAAAATCATTATTACAGTAGCAACGTAATAATATTTAATGCAAAGCTTATCAATATTATTTACTGCAACTTGAGCTATGGCCAAGTAATGCTCAAGCCATAATACAAGTGTGGCTTCAATAATTATAATTTAATCTGAAGCTAAGACTTTAAAAGTGATTCAATTGCAGCTTATACTTAATCAGCCAAAACTAGCTTCAGAATAAACTGATAATGACTCTGAAAAACATTTGATAGTAAATCTGTATTTGGTTAGTTCTATTCTGAAGGACAATAATAAAAAATCAAGCATTGATCATTCTGTTAAAAAAAATAAAAAATACAAGTCGAACGTTCATTATAGTTAAACAAATCCCCTACTATATATAAATATAATGCTATGAAATTTAAATGCAGAATTTCATGTTCTAT